TAATTCCATTGTCCACTAATTTTAAACGATTTAAGTAATATTTTGCACTTTTGTAGTACTTTTTAAGTTGTGATAGCACTTATTGTTAATTAGAATATGTTTTTTTCATATTTATTCGGTAACATACAGTAAGAATAATAAAACTTGATAACATAACCTCTACGCTTATTTTAAAACAGAAACGTCAGTGAATTTTACACAATATTCTAATATACCAACTAAAAGACCTCGCTATAATATTCTAACGACTTTTTTGACTATTATACACTTCTTATCACTTCTGATCGTTGTTATTTCTTACATATAGCTGTAAATTTCTCATTCAGGCGAAGTTGTTATGATTTCAACGTTAGATTTAAAAAAAATGAATTAGAACCACAAGGAAATGTAACGACTCAATAATTTTCATTATTGTACTGAAATATTTTGTGATAACTTGTACATTTATTTATATGGTTTATGGGATTCATATCTCTATTAAAGAATATTTTTCAGGTTGTGTTTTATTCTAAAACAGTTCTTATAGTCAGTAGTTTTGAGTTTGTTTACTGCATACTCGACTGTAGAAGTTCATTTCTGATGTTCCATAAAGTGATCAGGTAAGTTCTGGTTTATAGAAAGTCACGAATACAGATGGGTGGAATAGTGGTTGCCTAAATTGTAGTAAAGTAAAATTTTATGAATTTGGTAAAATGATTTTATATAAATATCTGAGTGTCTTTGTCTGTTTTCATAGGATGTTAAAGTCCCATGATACTATGCACACTAAAGTCCCGTGACACACTGGCAAAATATGTAAATGTTAGCAAAGATGTAAAATTACTTTTTTTAGTTGTATACAAATTCTAAATCAAAATATTAAAGATAGGTAATTACAATACCGCAAAATAAAAATCACAAAGATTGTAAAATAAATGTCTAAATGATATTCATAAAGTCTCAAGTTTGACCCGCTTTTCCTTTATGGTCAAATTCTTTACATTTTGCCGACCTTTTATGTTTTGTAGCAATATTTATTTTGTTTGTAACACACACAATCAAATCGTAGATTCATATATTTCTTTAATTTTACAAATTACTTATTAATTTTCAAAAACACGTTTTCACAGAAAGTAACTAGTTATGACTTCTTAGTGCAAGATATGACATCGAGGTATACTTACCGTTAACAGTTTAATTTTTGAAGATGTTCGTTACTGATGCATCGTTAAAATATGATACATACTTGTCTCGCTATGACGACATGCGCAAAGTCAATTAGAACAGCAAGTAAGCATATATTGTTGTTATAGTATCATGTTAAAGTCCGAGTGTCTATACAACCAATCTGCTGATTTGTTATGTCTATGCCTTTCTCCGAGATAGACATTTATTGTCTGTTTCGACTATAAAGTTCTACTAAATAACTTACCAAAGTCGATCTCTCTATGATTGTTAAAAAAAAAAAATTGTTTAATTTACTGTTTGTATTTTGAGAACGATTTCCGAAGTGGAAATTGAAACGTCAATAAACGTATTTTTATCTTTAATTGTGGCTTATTCCCAGTTTAATAGTAATTAATTTACAATGCCACAAGAAAATAGCTTCAGAACAACTCTATGATTGTATTAGGATAGAAAACAGATGATTTTGGTTTATCAGTAAAATAACATAAAATATAGACTTTTTCAAGTAAATAAACATTTCATGATATTTTTAACATCTCAGTACAGTATTTCACTAATAAAATTCAAAAGAATCCCACTTTTTGATGAGTGTTTTCTGACTGGAACATTTTCTATTTCCCTCTGAGTAATTCATCTACTTTTCCATGCTGCACTAACTTTCAAGAAGTTGTGTTACACTAAAAATAAACAAAAAGTGAGTATGGTAGTGTAAGATAATGCCTTTCTGGCATTTAACATATTTAAATTAGTCTTATAACCTGAATAGAAGACACAAATCAACATTGTAGTTTACACTGTTATTTCAATTTCAAAAATATTAAAAAACTATGGTGAAAAAATAAAAACCAATACTAGAAAAACAAGGAAGACACAAAAAAATATTGTAAATAACAGTGCATCTAAGAAGATATAGTTTTTTTTTTATTACAAAAAAATAAGTTAAGAAATGAATAAAAGTACTTATTCTGACTTGACCATATCGAATATCATTTTCCATCTCTCTTAAATAAATTTGATTTTGTCTATCATTCCTTTTGTACATTATCACCTACAACCACATTTATAAAATAATAAATACTGTTATAATATACATAAAAGAAAAAACTTGAAAAGTATTGTTGAGATGACATATATACCAATACTTCAAACCACAGGTTACTCAAAATACGTGAGAGGGAGATGGCAATAGACAAAGAATCTTTTTGCCACAGAAAATTGTTATAAGGTTGTTTAAATTTTTATTTTAGAATCGTTTATAAACTTGATTAGAATATTTTATATAGATTTGTCAGAATAAGATAACAGATTGCTGATGTTAACTGGTAGGCTAATATTGAGATCAATTAAACCTAAATATAGGTTTCGAGTCTGATCCCTATGATTAGAACAATCGAAAAATAAGTGGTTCAAATCTCCGATAGATTTATTATTACAGAAAAGGACAGAAAGGAGTTTCATAGATTCCAATCCTATGCAGATGCTCTGGAATGAGGCCATGATTAAGTATTAGCCGCGTTATTAACGAAGAATGTACTTTATTAAAATAGGGAATATTTTTGGTAAGCATGGGTGAATAGAAAAGTAATGGTTTCTTGAAGTCTTCTGAACCTCTTTATATTTTAACATCCATCTTTCCCTGCCAATACTCCTGATAATAGAAAAAAGATCTTTAAAGTAGTAAAACTTTGTAATTTCGGATATCTCAGATGTATTTTTTGCCATATTGTCCACTAATTCGTTTCCAATGACTCCATTGTGTCCTTTAACCCAGAGTAAAGTAACTGATTTGTTTGTGAATTTTAGATCATGTAATAATTTTTTGATATCAAGTATAATGGAGTAATCTGCCTGAGAATCTGATACTATTACGATGTTCTCACAATCATTAGTGACACACCAAGATAGTGCTTTCTGTATAGCAGCAGCCTCGGCTGTAAAAATAGAACAGCATTCAGGAATTCGATACTTCTCAACATAATTGATGAAGAAGATGATGATAATAATTGATGAAGAGGAGGAGAATTTTTTATTCTCCAATAAGGATTTGTTAAATTTTCTGTCAAAAGTAAACCTATTTTGTGAACCATAGCTGTATTAAACGATCTGTATGTTATTAGACGTTTGTTGGCTAACATTTGCCTACGTATGTGTAAAGGTGGTTCCTGGGCTTCTGCTAGAACTGATTGGATTGGTGAAGACATCATAGCTCCTAGACAAATTTTTATTGATTTAAATTGTATTCTGTCAAGAGTTAATAGATTTGTTTTGCATGTTGAACCGTAAAGAATACAACCGTAATCCAGAATGGATCGTATGTAGGATCTATAAAACATTAAAGAGATATTTTGATCTGCACCCCATCTTTTTTTTAGAAACGAAACGCAGAGGTTAATTCCACGCTCGCACTTTTGTTTTACGTTTTACTAAAATAATATACTGTGCTCAAACATTGAATCAAAAACGACTCCAAAACCAAAATACCAACACGAAATATTTAGGCGGTAGGTGTGTTCTTTTTTAGAATCACTTTGCCGAGTAGACACATTTTATTATATACGCGTTGAAATAATATTTAAAGATTTCTATTAATGGTAACTTAAAGAAATACACAATATGTTTCATTTAATTTGTATAAATGCATTATAAAGCGTTTTTATGAAGAACATTTGTTCGGAACACACTGTAACTGTAATCGAACGAAGGTAAAATTTTGGCATAAATTGGTAAAACTTATTTGACAGTTGAGGTGTTGACACTTTTTGTACTTTAATATTTTAAATTTTAAAGTGAGTACCTCCTGTTATATATTTTTACCTATTTAATAAAATCTGTTCTTTTTAGAACAAAATTAGTGTTTTTCAAAAATTTCACGTAAGAATTTAAATAGTCGCTGTAAAGAGATGGTAATACTTTTGCAATAATTATGTGACCTATTTGATTTAAAATGGATTTATTTTATACTTTGGTAACTTCGATCTCTGACGTAGATAATGACGTGCAATGGTATGTAAATTAGATGAAGTATATGTAAGTGTATCAAACTACAGTATAGGCAACCACAATTTCATTCTTGTTCTTAAGGAAAGAAAAGTTTAATATCTAAGAAAACCTAACAAAGAAAATAAGATTGGCAAAAAATATATATATACATTATTACAAACTGATAATCATCTTCTATTTTAATCAAAACACGTTGTACCTATCACGTAAGGTGTTAGATGTAAGCTGTCGACATAAATGAAAAAATGTTTGTTTTGGAAGAACAGAATAAATTGTTAGAGTCTAGTCGTAACTGGTGATTCTTGGAGGTGGCTTTTAAAAACAAGACATATTGAAAAATACAAAAAAAAGTAAATAAAAAGTAAGGGATTTGCGATAGAACGATTGAATCTCGACTGTCTACATAACCAAATTACCGATTTATTACCTGTTATCTGGATTACAGTTATAGGAAAAATAAAACAAGCAAAGTAACAGGAAAATTTAATAGACAAACATGCGAATTATTAGATAAAATTACAATAATAAAAACGAATTATTTTGTACCACAAACAACATACGATGAAAAGAAAAAAATAATAATCATTTTCAGGCATTAAACACATAATATTAATTAATAAGAACTGTTTTATTCTATTTCTAATTGTAGTGTTTGGGCAAGCTCTTATTAATGCACAAATTCATTCAAATCATTCCGTTACAAACTTTATATTAAAATCATTGTTTAATCAATACCACGCACTTAACTTTCACTAAAAGTTTTTCCGTTGCCTGGAAATGGGCCAGAAGTGCAGCAACGCAACTCCATGGATGCTTTAGATCAAAACATCGGCATTGACAGTGTCAAAATCCGTTTAAAATTATTTTTTATTTATATCCAATTCATATACACATTTTTTACCTTTAAATTATCGAGATGGAGGACAGTGACTTTGAGGGCGATGAGTTTCATAGCGAAGAAGAACGACCCGTGGAGGTTCTTGATCCGGACAACCCGGAACATTTTTTTCCGATTGTGGAAAGAGATTTTAATAAGGTAATGAAGGCTACAGAAGGTTTGTGGTTTGCTAGACAATTTTTAAATTTAGAAAGTTATTTATAGATTTGAAAAACAAGTTGATAAAAATTATCAGACGTCTACATATATTATGCGTCTGAGGTTTAGGTTTATACAGGGTGATCAACTTTTGTATAAAAGTTCATTATATCCTTTTTTTATTTAGAAAATCGTATCGACCAAATGGCCATTAGCGAAAAATTAATGGATTACATTAGGTACATTTAGTGCATTACAATTTGGTTTATTAAATATTGTAGTACTTACTAATGTCTTTTAATAAATTCAAGGTATTTTTAAAGTTACAGTCTGCACCTAGAGCTTCTAGAAGTATTCCTAGTATCTTGTTACTTTGTAGCATTTTAAATTCCTTGATATATATTGAAATCCCCTCGTATATATTTAAAACATCGAAGAATGTTTTTAGTGTATTTCATTTCCTATTCGTACAAGTTAAACCATTTTATAGTTTGTTTATATTTCACAGATGCGTAGTTTCTCGGTATTCTTTGATCGAAACCTCTTGTAGGATATTTTGCGTTTTCGTTCCCGTTGTAAGTGTTTTTTTATGCCAAGTTAAGCGAATGAATTTTAAAGATAATTTTATCACTCTCGCTGAGGCGTTTGTGAGGAGCGGTTTGTTCAGCGTTTGTCCGAATTTTCCTTCTAATTCGTAATGATTTTTCCTTGTTTATTATGGAAAATAAATAGTTTTGTGGTAGTTAATAGTAGCAGTTCAATATGTAGTTACAGTTTTAAGTTACGAGGTTAGAAATATTTCCAACCGAGTTTTCAAGTTTTGAGATGAATTTGTTCGTGTGGCGGTGAATCTAACTCCAGTTCGACCAGAAATTCCAGTGAAGTCCAGTTACAGAAAATTTAAAATAGTTTAGTGAAACTCAGCTAACTTTTTTTGTTTACACTTTTGAAGTAAAGATAGACATTTTTTTAATAATAAAACTTTTTTTTTCATAACAAAAAGAATTTGTAACAATTAATATTGTACTATCTTGAGTTTTTTGTTTTGTTTTCTTTTTAAAGAAGGTTAACCTCCATCCAGTAACAATTTTTCTAAGCTTTGTAGCATCTCTCACTTGTAAACAGTGTTTATAAACGAATAGGACATACGTAAGTTTTTCATCTTTTACTATTTTGATATAAATCCTTGTAACTATTCATATCGTAATTATTTTTGTATTATATGTATGTGTAACTGTTTGTGGTGAGACAACAATAAAAGTTTAATTTTTTTCCCAAACCATTTTGTTTATTTCTCTTGACTAACCCTCTAACCCCTTTTTCGAGTTTCATTTGAAAAGATATATTTTTTATTTTTAATAATTATTTCAATAATTACAACTAGTTATTATTATATTAATATAGTCGTTCGCATAAGTTTCGTTTATTTTGCTTGCCCTATCTCCAACCCAATAGTTTCTCTCCCCAACTTTCAACCCCCATAATAATACCCCATTTGCTGGGCAAAATATTTCGTTACAATTTCGTTCTTGATTGTAGAGGGGACATTTACATAATATGTGCATTATTGTTAGTGTCGTATTAGATGTTTCACAAATCGGCGGTTCGCACTTTTTAGGTAAGTAATTATGCTTTAATCTAGTATGTCTGAGGCGCGTTACTATTATTTCTTGCTTCTTGACGTAGGTAACACATTCCATGTCTCTATGCTGGGTTTCACTTGTTTTAATTTTAAATTCGACACATTCCATTTATTTTTCCACGCACTTTAGATTGATTTTTTTATATAAGCTTTTATAATATCCGTTGATACCGATGTTTTTACGATTTCTGAAACGTCACTCACTATCAGCTATCACTGTCAGCAGTTTCGTTGCCTTTTATTCCTACGTGGGATGGGATCCAGATGAAATTTATCTGATTATGATTGATATAAGGCTGAAGACGGACCGTTTTATTTTTTTTTAAAGCGGGTTTAAGATAATATATTTGCAGTTTGTTGTCAGATTGGTTAGTTCTATGGAGCATACAGTTCAGCTGTATAGATAGTACTAACATTAGATAGTTTGAATTTAAGGACCTTCTCTGGAGTTACTACAGACGCTCCCACACCTTCAGATGATTTTGAACCAGCAGCTTCTATCTGGGTATGATTTTTATAACGACTAAGGATTTTTCTAAAATGGAAAATAATTAAATCATGATTAGTGGAGTTTTTGTGAAATGACGTAAGTTCAAAGTTATATGATGGTATGTTTTGAATCCAAGGCGGATTCTGGTCATATGTGTATGGAAGACATTCAGGTATGACAATATCAAACAGATGTAAATGGTCTTTTACACTTTTATAGAAAGGTTTAACAGAACGGTGATTTGCATTGAGGTTTAGGAAATTATCAGTAAAAGTATTTCTACAGACAGGATTTTTTGCATTATCCTTAATTTTTGTTGGATACGTTAGACTAAGGAAGCTCTTCTATCATTTAACGACAATTCATTTGCTTCGCCAAGTAAACTTTCAATCGGTGTTGTACAATTACTAACAAGTCACAAAATTTTATTACTTCTCTAGACGCACACTGTCCACTGCACCGGTTTTACAAATTAAAAACTTACAGTTCGAGCATTAACACTTCAATAATACACAATCGATAAATATACCTATCTAAAGAAGGCACAGAGCCGGAGAAACCCGAAAGCTTCCGATTGGCTTTAGAATTGACCGTCATTGACTCCCACCGGTCTCCTAGACAAGCTGTGTCTACTAAAGGTTAATATACTCTGAACGTTACTTTATTATTCTTGTAATTCATTTTCAGACAATTGCGAATCTCGAGCAAAACCCGGAGGCTCTCCAGTTCACCGAAGACTTCAACAAACTCTTCGAAGCTTTCTTCCAGACTTACTCCAGACAGAAAGAACTTGAAACACTTGCCGAAGATATGAAATTCGATCTAACAGACAAAGCCCACAAAATCGAGCTGTCCTTAAGACTAGCCGATGAAGATCAGAAGACCATCATCGAGCTACGAAAGCAGATAGAAAACGCTTGGAAGCTAGCTGATGCTGCTCATGCCAGGGAGCAGCTCGCTCATGAGATTATTGACAATTTGAGGCGGCAGGTGGAGAATTTGAATGCTGAGATTGATTTTAAGAACAAAATGAATCAGGATACGGATGAGTAAGATTTAAATTTAAGTTAATTGAAATGTTTAACCAATAGAATTTTGTCTGGTTTTAGAACCGGAGAACTCAGCAAACACAAGGACGGCCTAGAAAGAGAAAGAGATCGACTGGTAAACGAAGTGACACAGTTGAACACCAAGCTCCAAAATGCTGTTACGTATCAAGAGGAACTGGAGAAGAAAAACTCCGAAGCTGACATGAAAATCAACGAAATTGCAGGACAGTTAGAAGTATATCTACCAAAATAGTTATGTTTAAAAGGTAACGAGTATACAATTGTTGTTTTTAGGATCAAACCCAAGAAACCAGCCGACAGAAGCGAGCCAAAGAGAAACTAGAAGCTGACATACAAGACTTTAAGTTTAAAATTGACGAAAAAGATATTCACATACATGAACTTAACGAAAACATAAAGGAATTAGGAAAGCAAATATCTGCTTTGCATAAAGAGATTAAAGACTGGCGATATGCACATGATAAGTTATCCAAAGAATTAGAAGGAACTCTAGTGAAGTTGGCCAAGTTGACAGACGAACATAACACTTCTTTGTTTGAGGTAGATGCTATGAAAAAAGCCTTGCAGGAGAAATCTATAGATATGAAGGTAAGAACAAATTGCTAGTTTCTGAATTAACCCTTTACCGCATGAATTTTTGTTCATTTTCTCTTCTTCTCAGATTACCTTTCACCCAATTATGAGGTTTCATCCTTTTATATCAGAGTCTTTTAGACAAAGAGGTATCATCATCTGAGGAATCTGAGTATGTAGCAGCAATGACACATTCCTTGACATTGCTTGGTAAATCTTCACGCTCCTCGTTGTCACTATCTTGACACAATATCATCTCATTTGTGCCATCTTCATCCGAGAGATCTGATTCTTCACGATTAGTACTATCTGGTATTCGAACTGTACTCATTAAACGAGTTTAGGATCCATATCTACAAAAACAATCAATGAGTCCATAACTTTATAGTGTACTACTGTTCATAGTGTCATAGTGTTCAGGATCAGTCTACTGACCACGGCCTTACCTAGAGCATCGTAAGCTCTAGGGCGCCTCTGCCCCAATTCTACCACACTTTAGACTCTGTAGCTATTGTAGCTTGCTACCTGAAAGAGCTGTTTTATTCCTACGATAAGTTTTACTTTATTTTAATGTAAGGAATTTATACCAAGTCTTTATCAAGACTTGGTAGAATTCATAACATCCAGAAGCTGAATTGGATAAGTGCTTAGGGGTACTTCGTACACTATACACGAAGCCCCTAAGCAAAGCGTACAGTCCACTCTACATATGAGACAAACTCTTTTTGGGGTTTTCGAGAGTCTTTCAACATTCATAATTTTTAGTACTCACCTGAGTAATGTCACAAAACAATAAATTTCAATTTTTTCTCGCCCTAAAAAAACGTTTTTACCATGAAAATAACCTCAATATTCGAACGCTGTTTCACGTGGCTCAAAATTCAACAAGCATGAACTTGAAACTGAGCACGGCTGCCTACCTCCCCGTAACTATGCGTAAAACTATGCCGCATATCTCGCGTACACTATTAGTATGTGCCAGGTATGGGCTGTGCCATACAGCTACGATAATAATTGAGTTAAAACATTTTGGTTTGTGCCATTCATGGCACATAATACGGTAAAGGGTTAAAAGATTTACTGTTTGAAAAATACTTTATACTTTTGTATTTATTTTAGGTATTAACGGAAGAAACAACGCGTTACAAAAATGATCTGTCGAAAGCTCAAAAAGCAAGAGACTTACTGGAAAAGAGGTACTAACAATTATCAAAGAAAGGGACGAGACTACAATAGATAGAAACAACCTCCGACAGAGGATAGGTATCTTCGAGAAAGAGATAGAGGACTTTAAAAAATACATAGACGAAGATAAAAGGACAATAGAAACGCTAGGAAAGGAAAAAGATATTCTTAACAAAACTATTCAAAGGTAAGTAGATAGAACTAGATGCTTTTCATCTTCTGACATTGTTTTCCGATTCTAGGCAACAAGTCGTCCAAAAAGACCACCAAAAGCTCATCCACATTCAAGAACAATCTAAGAAGAAACTGGAATTAGAGCTGGACTTGTTCTTCATCGAAAGCGGGAAACACAAAAAACTCATCACCCAGCTGGAAAGAGAAAGAGATAGGCTGGCTGAAGAACAGTTGGATTTGACAAATACCATACAAGATCAACTGGAAGATATTCGTCAGAAAAAGGTACATTTATATTATTTTTTAATATAGTAATAGTAAGTCAAATTTTTAATATTTGATTTAAAACAAATTACCAAAACCAACAGGTGGAAATAAGACAAATACATCCTTAATATTGCTTACTTCTTGGTGTGTTTGTGTTGTTTTCTGCGATATTAACTTTATCCCTCTTTCTTACAGTCCTGAATGTCCCCTTTATCTTTATAGAATGATAATATCATACTCTCTATCCATGCATTGGGCATCCTTTCGACTTATCATTTGCTTTATTTAAACATCGCTTCTTAACACTCTTCCATCCGCACTCTTAATCTGCCGCATGTGGGTCAAGTCCGTTAATGTCTTGTCCCTTGCTTTAGTAATGCTGTACCTTTTCATCTCCTCAGGTGTTTCCAACTCTTCATGTAGCTGAGCAGACGATCTTTCCTTAGCACTGGCTATAGCATCTTCTTTAGTACCTTGTATATATCCTTATCTTCCTGTCTTTTAGACCTGGCATACCTCTCTAGCCTCTTCCATCTCTCTCTCTCTTTCTGTTACACTTCATCGTTCCACCACCATGTTTATTGTCTCTAAGAAGTCCTTTACCCCATGTTTTTCCTATCACTTTCTCTCCCACTTGCACCACAACTTTATTGTTGGCTTCTCACCAGTCTGTATCTTTTGCCTCAAGCTCTTCTACCAGCACTCTACTCTTAAAGACTATCGGTAACTTCTTTTAGCAGACTTCTACTACACAGCACAAAATCTACCTGACTTTCCCGCGCTACTATAGGTAACTAACTGGTCTTCTGTCTTCGAATCGAAGAACGTATTAATGACAGCTAATTTTCATGCTACTGCAAAGTCGATCACAGTATTTCCTTCATCATTTCTTATTCCTATCCCCAAATCTCCATGAACTCTTTCTATTCCCGCTCTTTCTCTACTAATATGTCCATTCAAATCACTTCCAAAAAAACACTTTTCGTCTACAGGTAACTATAGCAATTTGCAATCAAGGAACTTCCAAAATTCTTCCTTTTGCTGTTCTTCGCACTCTATCTATGGGGAGTAGGCACTTATGATGTTCACGTTGGTATTGGCTGCATTCAGTTGGACACTTCTTATTTTATCACTTCTTCTGGTTACCCTTACAAGATGTACCTTCCATTAGTTCTTCAAAATAATACCTACTCCATTTCTGCCGAGTTTCCTGTATACAAAGTACACCAATCCATCTCTTCTGCATGAAATTGGTGAGCTATCTTCCTTGACCTGTTATGCTTCCGACGTTGAGAGTTGCAACTCTCAGGACTAGCTTCTTTACCCCTCTAACGGGTAGCCCTAGCTCACTTTTCACCAGGTTTAGAGGCAGCAACTGCGGGAACGCCCTAGCCTCTAAAATAATTTCCATATTCCTTATTTCCATGGTTTTAGCAAGGTTTTTACTGTCGGATGCCGTTGCTGATAGCTTAGAGCTACACAATTCACCCAGCAAATACCAGAGTCGGATTTCCTAGGTATTATGCACTTATTATGCATTATAATATTCCGTTCTTAATTTATTCGCTTTCTTATTTACATTTTGTCACATATTTATTATAACACAGTTTTATACGAGATTTTACCGAAATATAACTATAAAATTTTCTGCAGGTCTTCATTTTCGACCTGAAAAAGGAAGCAGCTGAAAGAGATAACAAAATCAGACAGCAACAAAATATGTACGAAGCCATGAGGTCCGATAGAAACGCTTTGCAAAAGCTACACCAAGAATCTACTGCCGAAGCCGGGGAATTGAAAAAAAAGCTGCGTTTGGTGTCGCATCAGATCGAGCAGCTGAAGGAGAACATTGGACAGAAAGAGAAGCAGTTGATTAAAGACGAGAGCATTGTGAGGAAGTTGACAAAAGAAAAGGAACAATTAAAGTGAGTATACATACAGAGGGTGTAAATATAGATTTTAAATAGCCTTGCTAGTTTTTCAAGTTCCATCTTCTATCAAAGGTTGGAAATTATCATAGCTATGTAGACCCTGTTGACTGCCGCTTTAAATAGTTCTGCACTACTGCATTTAAACCATTGCCTTAAGTTGTTAACCCACGATATTCTTCATCTTTCCACAGTTTTTATTGCAGATACATAAATTGCATAAAACTCTGAACTTCGTTGTACATTATATTCAATTAGATTAAGAGAAGAATACATAAGATTTTCTTTTACATAAATTGCAACTCCATCTTGTTTCTTTTTTATCCTACAAAAGAAATTAGCTAATGAAGAGTCAGAGCTGATAATTAATTTTCTTCACTTTTGAAAATGTCTTTTGAGGAGAACATCAGGAAAAGATACTATTAGTTTACAATTGATAAAGCTATTTTAAAAAAACTGCCTATTTTTAAACAGCTGTATCTTCGAATCTACTAAATCGGTGTTAATTTACCAATGCTCGTTTGAAAGATATTTAAAAATCCTTTAATTTACCTATTTCTACAATTTCTTTCCTCGTTTGGTTAAATTTTGACAATTTTTCTTTTTGTTTTTCTTGATCTATAAAATAAAACTTATCTTTTAAAATTGTGTAAACTATTTCATCAAAATGTTAACATTATAACACAAAAATTAAGATAATTTGAGTTAAAATCTAGTAGGCTATATATTAAATTTGGTAAAGCAACTTAGTGTCTGTTTCTTATTAATAATCCTTAATTTATGGATGAACCCATAGTTGGACAAAAAGTAAAAATATATCATTGTTCTCTTATTTTTTTTATAGAATAGAGGTCATGACAGGTCTGGATCAGATCCGCGTCTTGAAGACCGAAAACAAGGAACTGCACGATGAAGAGAAAAGGCTTCATAAAACCCTAGCTGTAAGTTTAATATCAAACCACCTGAAAATCTATATCTCACATAACAATCATTATTTTTTATGTCTAGAATCTTAATCGAACCATCAAAGAACAAGCTAAAGATCTGGAACAACTGATGAATGAAAGGGACGTCTTGGGATCACAATTAGTAAGAAGGAACGATGAGATTGCGTTGCTTAACGAAAAAATTGTTATTTTGCAAGCTACACTAACAAGAGGTGAGTACGTTAGTGAAAATTGTCAATGAATGTTTACCTATTTAAATTTTCCATTTTTCCTATTTATTTTTCTTTTTTCCTTAATTTCTTGTTTACCTTTCGGCACTTTGCGTTACTTTTGTACCTTTTTTTTATCATTTCCGAAGCACTACCTTTATTTATTCATTCTACCCCAGATAAACTAATCCAGCTTTTCACACAGCTCTTTCCAGTGCCTTCTTTTTCTGTGCGGTTTTTCCTGTACAGTTCCCTCTTCCTTGCGCGATCTCTTCGATGACCTCAGGGTTGATCCCTGCTCTGCCTCTTGCTCCCATTGGCCTTCTTCTTAGTTCCTCGATGTCCGCATTCCACCAATATGGCATCCTGTTGACATCTTGGCGACCAATCTTGCTTCCTTCCATCGCTTCTTTAATGACTCTCTCCAGGCTTTCCACTGTCGGTGTCTGCATTATGCTCACTCTCCAGTTAATCAGCTCCTCGTATACTTTCTAGTTGTGTCGCCATGGTCACGTCGATGTACCTGTACCTCTACTAACAAACGTGGGCTCCAGACCTGTGTTTAGAACCACTAGGTCTAGAGTCAGTTAGTATCCCCACTCCGCTGCTTTTGCGTTAAAATCTCCCAGCACTACGTATTCTCCACCTGTGTTTCCCACTTCCATGATCTCATATATCTTCATCTCGTACTCGCTCACCATCACGTTTGGAGAAATATAACAGCAGACCAGCCGCACCCCCTCCATCCAAACAATCACATATACTTCTTTCGGTTTAATTTCATACACTCGCAGCTTCCTATTATAGATTCGTACCTCACGGTCGTATCTAAAAACCATCCTCTTCTCTTCACCACTGTTGGATTTGGTTCCGCAGTCACCAGCACATCGATATTCTTTTCTATTACGGCAGCCTCGGCAAGATTATGTGCTAATCTTGCTGTTCCCACGTTAGTTTGGAGCACCCTCAGCTTTCGAGTCCAGTTTTCTTTGTTTGCCATTTCTTAACCTTGGACTTCTTTCGCGCTCTCTTTTACACTCTTGTACTCTTCTTGGGACTAGTCCTCAGTGATTCCTATTTTCAACCAGTCGGTTGAACTTTGGGCATATTCTTAAATTCTCCACATGACTAGTCACGTCGCAGTTGAGGCATCAGGTTGTTTCTTCCTTGCATTCCGGTGCTATGTGACCCTTTTTGCCACATCGGAAGCTACATCCTCTTCTGTTCTACCCCTTGCAGTGCCATTGTTTGTGTCCAAAGGCAAGACATCTCAGACATCTCGGTATTTCTACCCTTAATTCTATTACTCGGCAGGATATGTAGTCTACTTTTATTCTTTTCATTTTAAAGATCGTTTCAGCAGCGTCTTCATCCACATCGATCACGGCACTCATCATCGCTCTTACTGAGCCTCGTGTCTCGGTCCAAATTTTTATGTCACAGGCTCGCTCTTTGCCAACTGCTTCCTCTGTGGCCTTTTGGGTCTCTTCCTTCGTTGTATAGGGTGGGATTTCCTGTACCAATATTCTTCTCTTCACGATGCCTCCTTTTGCCACTGCTCTGAGGAGTTTCTTCACTTTCTCCGCCATTTCCCCTCCTCCGAACAACTCCAGTGATATTCCATGGTCTCTAGTCTATCTGATCCTTTTCATAACAATGTCCTTTCTTCCTGTCAGTTTGTTTTTTTACTTCTGTCATTAGATCCACAAGTGATTTTTCTTCGGTTTTGCTGATGATTACGACTCCATTTTGTTTTTGGTACTTACTCAACTTCTTTTTCCTTTGTTGTTTATTTTTTCATGTCAGTTTTTAAGTTATTATGGCTTTTATCCAATTGCTGTATATATTTTTAATGATGGTATCTTTTTTACTTATATTTATAAGACTTTTATAATTTGTCGTGAAATAATTGCAAAAGATACCAAAAGATAAACAGGAAAATTTAAACAGAGACTGAAGAAAAAATAAAAGCCTCCCATGCTTCTCCGCCTCTTAACCCAAACTGTGAGTCACTTACGCTTTTTTGTATCTAATATAGTCACTTTTCAGGCGAAACTCACTACGAACTAAGACTTGACGACATACGACTGCTGAAACTGGAAATCAAGCGTTTGAGGCAAGAAAAAGGGCATATTTCCAAAACCATGGCAAGTATGGTAGAGCTACGCCAGGAGGTGTTCCATTTGGAAAGAGACTTGACCAGGAGCAGGTTGAAATGCAAGGCTCTGGAGCAAGAGGTGCAAAATCCTCTTAACATTCACCGCTGGAGGAAACTGGCTGGATCTGATCCTGAAGTGCTGGATCTCTTGCAGAAGATACAAATATTACAAAAGTAAGTACAAGTTTCTTATATGAATTTGTAGATAGTTATCTATAATATTTAATAAAAATAAACAACAATTTTATAAAATTATGTTATGGTCTATTCGTATTAAACTCAACTAAAAATTAATATTTATTTTAATTAATATTGTAGTATTTTTATTAATCTAATTTATTGTCATTATTTATTATTAAATTTTCTATTTATAACACTTACAAATTTATTAAGGTCTTTATTTAAATATTCACTAATTTATCACAATATTTATTTATATTTATTTCCGCGTACAATTATATCTCGATCTAAAAACTCGATTTTACATTCAAAAACTAACTTTTTAACAAACGTCCCTCCTTAAATATAAAATACAGTTAATCGAGAATCGGCTCTTTTCATTAACCTTTAAAAAATTACGTGCAACTAAATAAATGGCTTAAATGCATTAACAAGTACAAAAAATGTCTATATCTCTATAAATGTGATATTACAATAAATGTTCAAAATGACCTCCATTTTCTTCAATACACATTCGATATCGTTTTAATAAGGAAAACCAAATGCACTGAAAAATCATATTTTTCTGACGAAATTGATTTGCAGCTTCAATTATACTAACCCTCAATTGTTGTTCATCCTCTATTGTTACAGAATACACTTTCTCTTTCATAACCCCCCAAAAGCAAAAGTCCATGGGGTTAAGACCTGGACTTCTGGGTGGCCAAGAAATAGGTGCGTCACGACCGCTTCCAATCCACCGACCAGGATACTGCCTGCAAAGATATTCCCGGACTTCATTACTGTAATGCGGTGGAGCGCCATCTTGTAGAAACCATATATTTTACCTTATTGCAATATTCACCTCTTTCAAATACTCTTGTAAATCGTTTGCTAAGAACTGCAAATAATTATCACCATAATTGTTAGGAAAAAATACTGGGCCTATTAGATTATTATCCACAATTAATGCCCAAACATTAACTTTGAAAGTCGTTTGGTGATGAGTTTTTTTGGCGTGATGAGTTGTTGGCGTGAGGATTTTCGTCGGCCCAAATGTACTCGTTATGATGGTTTGTTATTCCATTTCTACTGAGCTAGCCTTGTCGGTAAACAAAATATTTCTAATAAAATTAACATTTTGAGGGGTTTCCATTAACAGCTAATCGTAAAATCCAATCCTTTTAGGATAATATTCAACCAATTCAAAGTCTGGAACCGTTGTTTATATATAGAGTTTAAGCAGCTGATCCTTCAAACGTCTCCAAACCCTTACGTGAGGAACATTTAGTTGAGCAGCTATTACCCTTGTACTTGGACATGGACTTCTTCAATGATTTCTAAAATGTCTTCATCAGTTGCATCCATTATTGGACGACCACAACTATTGCCAGTAACTTGCGGTTGGAATATACCCGTTTCCCGTAAACGACAATTCTTCTTTTTCTTAGAGTGCCATATCCCTACGGAACGTCGGCGACTACCATGCTTATAATATTTATACTGATCTCGGTCTTGCGCTACGCGTAGCAATTGGTCCGCTGTCAAACCTGTCCACTGCCGCAAATTCCTCAACCAAGAGAGTTTCTTCCGTCATATCCATTTCTTTCCTTCGATTTTACCGTTGAGAATTAGCCGAAGGAACTCATACCTTGGTCCTCTGATTATATGTCCAAGATATTCTAGTTTACGCCTCTTAATATTAACGACAATTAATGGTCAAGAATAATCGTCTATCGGGTGTATTTCGATTGGATATTTTACAGAATAACGCATTGCAGCTACTGCACTATTTCCTTCGCATTCACGATATTCTCGATAGTTTATTGAAATCATAATTTAATCTGATCCAACTTACCCAAAGTTAAATGCATATTTTCCATTTTCTGAAATGTGTAGGCCATTGTAATATCAAAATTTTTAATATTAATCTTATTTACACAATAAATGATAGCTTCAAATTATTAACTATTATTGATAGAACTGTTTGTAATCATTGTATCCGTAGAAACTAATTGTAATTTTTTGTAAAGGTTTTGTAAAGTTGTGACGGAAGTTAAATTGATCCATAATTTTTCAGGACTCTGGTGTCTCCCTTTTTGTGTATTAGTATTTGTTTGAGAAAGTATGCGCGCATTCATTTCATATTTTTACAGTTAATATTTTTTCTGTTACGGTACTGTAATATGACCTAATTTGGGTGCTGTATTTCAATCTTTTAAAATATATTATTTCCTGTGAGTTCGTAAAACTCAAACTGGCTCTCATTTATCATGTTAACGTACGCAGAATTGGGCTTTTTCTTTGTATTATATGTCAAAAAAGATTGAAACAAGTGGTTGATTTATGGCACTTGCATCTGTTGACCACCCAACGATCAGAGGGCGGTTTGCCCTGGTAGCGATCTCAAGACGGACACTTTTGCCACTTCTTCGTCACGAGTGAACGAAAACACATTGACCGGTCTTGTGGTGAGTCTCGGCGACGCGGCGTCCCTCGTCCCGGGCGTCGGTACCACTGACCAACTCTACAGCTTTGGTACGAATTCATCAATCGAATCAGAGGTGAGTCTATTCTTGTATAAAACATTGATAATGAGTAAACCAGTTTATTTCTAATTTATTTCTACTTTTACAATTTATAATTGCTATTTTCACCAATTTTATGTATCAACAATATCACATTTTTTCGTTATAATTATTTATTCAATATAATTTAAACCAGCGACTTCTCAAGTTTAATTACTAAACAGTATTGTTTTAGCAGTATTCCATTGTTCGGGTTTGTTGCTTTCGAATAAACATTTATTAAATAGTATTTTTGGATATTTGATAGCTTCTTCTCCACCTTCCTTCAGTATTTCTCCTAGGATTCCATCGCTTCCAGGAGCTTTATTCCTCTTTATTTCTGTTACTGCTCTTTATATTACTTCTTGGCTTATTTCGGGCATCACTTTTAAGTTGACATTTCTTATCTGCTTTTTCAAGTTCTGCTTTGAGGAGTTAGAGGGAACGTTTCTGGAACGATACAGATCGGCGTAGAATTAAGTTTACTATATCAGAATTACTTTTTTCGAGTTGTCTTGTTGATTTTTAATGGTTATTATGTTTTTCTTTCCTAGTCTCGGTTAGGCGCATTTAAGACTTAGGCTTTTCTCTATGACAGAATAAGTTTAAGGGTACATTTTTTTAAGTAAACGAGGTCATGACCTATATGTTAAACTCTATACGAATTTTAATTAGATTAGTTTATTAAAATTGAGACAGTAGTTACACATTTAATTAAAATGCCCTTTAAAAGTATATTAACATTTTTAATGTCCCATTTTATTCAGTAAGACGTTTTTCATCGGCAATCTCTCGATTATATATAGAAATATTTGTCAAATCTATATAATTTTATTTAAAATATTAAAATATCTCCTTTTTCTTGTTTCTTGGTTGTATAACGTTAAAAATAAAAATGCCAACTAGGAAATCAAGTGCAAAAACAAGCGAGCTAGGTTAACGAACGTAAAAATTCAAGGACTGTGTTGAATGCACTTCTGCATTCAAGGTAACGAACCATATGCTTACGTAAAAAAACGTGACACCTTCGTACAAAGACACTTATATATTATGGTGATATCTATGCGTTACATATAAGAACCGCATGGGTAGGATGAAAAAAAAATGACTGATGATTGTATAATCATCGATAATAATGTTATATATATTTATATCATTCTGTTGTATTGTTAGGTGTTAATTGAACAATTGCATTTAATTGTTTATTATTAATGTTATTAATTTTTTTGTGTTTAACTTTATGGAGATCAGATAAGTTATATAATGCCGGGTAGGTCTACAACCACAAATCTAGTGATTCTAGAAGAATTCATTTTTGATGTCTTTAAGAAGAAGGCTCAGGTCGATGTGATCTATACCGACTTCTCAAAGGCATTCGACCGTGTTAACATCAAAATTCTTATAAAAGAACTAGAGGCAGTAGGAATTCATGGATCCCTGCTTGAGTGGTTGGAGAGATACCTGACAGACAGGCTTCAGGTTGTCAAAGTCAAGAACTGTCTTTCTGAAGAGATTTTGGTTAGGTCTGGCGTCCCACAGGGTGGTCATTTATCGACTATTCTTTTTATTTGTTTCTAAATGACATTTTAGAAATCTTTGAAAATTGTGTTATTTTGTTGTATGCTGATGATTTGAAAATCTTTAGAATTATTAAGGATGTTAGAGACTGTGTAAAAATGCAAAAAGATAAAAACAATTTCTCACAATGGTGTACAAAGAATGACCTTTCACTTAATATCGATAGATGTAAAATAATGCGCTTTTTTAGAAACTCACAACCTATCTGTTTTAATTACTCTATAAATAATATATTTCTGGAACCAAAAAACACTTTCAAAGATTTAGGTGTATTTTTTTATCCCACTTTATGTTTAAAAAATCACTATAATTTTATTGTAATAAAGCTTTTAAATTACTTGGATTTTTGAAAGGAACCTTGTCAGAATTCAATAACCTAGATTGTTTTAAAAGTGTGTATTGTTCTATGGTTAGATCAGTTCTGGAATATTCCAGCACTATTTGGTCTCCTTTATATAAATGTCATATTGAAAGTATTAAGAAAGTTCAGAAAAAATTTTTGCGCTTTGTAGGCTATAGATTAGGGATTTCTTGATTGTAAACGGAATGATAGATTCGCCTCAAATTTTGCAGAGAATAGGTCTTAGGGTTCCTCAAAGGTGCATAAGTTCCAAGGACGTTTTTCACTTAGAATTCCAACAAACAAACTATTGTCTAATTAGTTGTCTATATTGTCTAAATACGACGAATGTGTCAATTTGGAAATGGTTTAGATGTAGACTTTTTTTCTAGTTCTCTGAATAGTTTTCGAAAAAAGCTGAAAAAATCTTTTTAAAATACAATGTAGGCTGTCACTATAAACTGTCATTTAGGTATTTATTGTATTTATTTGTCTTGTGTAAATTGTATGTAATTATTATTGAATTCTAA